CAGGAATGCTTGCTTTAGACATCTACATACCTTGGTTCATACGCTCCGATGGGAATAGCTGCGAGGTCAAAAGGTCCAAATCTTTTTCCTATCTCTTCAAAAGCAGAGCAGTAACCAGTGTCTCCTGCGAAAAAAAAGCGGTTCCAAGGCCCCAAGACAGACCAGCTGCCCCAGAGAACCCTGTTGTCATCCGTCAGAGTCCTTTTACACCAGTGCTGGGAAGGTGTGAACACAAACGTCACCTTATCACGTCTGGGGACGCAGTTCTCCTCCCACCAGTCCAGCTCGATCACATTCTCACAGCCACATTTCTGCATCCAGTCCAGGAGCCCCAAAGGCACAAACCACCTCAGCTCGTTACCAAATCGCTCGTTCAGAGCAGTGACAGAACTGTAGTCCAGGTGGTCGTAGTGGTTGTGGCTGATGAGGACCGCGTCTATCTGGGGCAGTTCACCGACGGTGCAAGGGGGACGCCGGAACCGCTTGGGACCCACGCGCTGCGACGGGGAGGCCCGGGCGCTAAAGACGGGATCCGTGAGCAAGATGAGCTCATCCATTTCCACCATCACTGTCGCGTGTCCCAGCCACGTGACTCTTAAGCCAGCTTCCCTCACTCCAGCTTCTTCAGGGTCATCGATAAAATACGGCTTAAGCACTGGGAGTTCTTTATCAAGCTCCTACATATATGAAGAAAGAAAGAAAGGCAGCTATTAAAAAAAAAAGGTATTATGTGTCATCATAAATACATTTTTTACCTAAATTACAGAGAGAAGGGTTATTTGGGGAGAACTGAAGTCATTCGATAAATTTGTTATTTTTGCTTTTTTCTTTAAAGTGCATACTTCTTTCTGAAGCTGACTCAATAATCACTATATAGTGATGTAAGATGTTACTCCCAAATGCAACCAACAAAGGGAAAATTAAACTTAAAACTTTGAGTACTGCTGACTTTGCGAAATATTTTTAAAGGCTCTCTCTGTAAGTGCCAGAAGTAGACCAACCGAGATGCAGTCCCTTTGCTACTACTGTTTACTCAGCTGGTGCATTCGCTACTGAAAACTGCCTCAGGAGGTCAGCCCCTAGAAACAGTAAAGAAAACTTTTGACCACATATGTGTAGATCGTGGATCTCACATGAACCTGACTTCTTGAGTACACAGAATTCAGAGCAGAGTGCTGTGATGGCTGCTGGGAAAGTCAGGGGCATAGATGGTTCTCCTTACCGCTTACCTTTGACGTTTTCTACCACTGATTAAACCAACGCGGGACATGGTCCCTGCCCATGAGAGGATGATCACTTTTGGGGGCAAACAGGTGTGAAACAACTACAACATAATGTGTTAAGTATTATTCCTTTGTTTATTATTCTTCATTTTATCCTTGGATTAAGCTGGACCAACAAGAAACTGTGTTCTAGCATCACAGTCCTGGCTTTTATAAAACTTTCATAAACTGTGCTTCGGTGTTAGGCCATACAGCTGCATGGAGGTCTCTTCCTTGTGAAACTTGCCGAGCATGTACCTTGGGGCTGGCTGTCTTGATGACTGGGTACCAGCGCACACCGACCCCACCTTCCCACACACCCCAGAAACACTGCTCTGGATTCCCTGTAACAGGAAAAGCTCTTCTGCAGAGCAACTGGCTTTACTCCTTTGACTACCATTGGGAAAACTGACAATCCTGCTTTGACTTTTGCTTTGACAGGAAGTTCAGAGTAAAAGCTGAAGACTCCTCCAGCCCATATGCAGAAGGGAACAGGCAGGGCACATCGCAGGGAACAATGGAACAGATTTCTATGCTAACCTCTTTCTTGGCTTTATTTTTCTACCCTAATTGTCCATTTGCTCTTGTATGTTTATCCATCTGGTTTTTTACTGCCACATGTCTTTTTATAAGCTGCTGCAAATCAGTTTTGAAAAAGGCATGGTATTGAATAATTAAATAAAATACAAGGCATGCTGTAGCCCAGTAAGAAGGAATGAAGAGCCCAGCTGCGGAAGGCATTACAGACACAGTAACTTGTGTGCGTTCCTGAAGAATGGTGAGAAGTTCCTGACGCAGAGGAAAGGGGGAAGGGCATTTCAGGTGGAGAAAATGCCCAAGCAAAGGCACAGAGCCAAGTAGGAATGTGGCGTTCGGGGGCAGAAGACAAACTGAAATCTATAAAGGATGAGAACCCAGTAAAAGTCTTGAATCCCACGCTTCACCCAGAGACAGTGAGGAAGCATCGATAAGAAAAGAAAAAAAAAAAGACATGACCCAATTCATGTTTAGAGAAACCACTTTTCAAGTTTAAATGATGACCTGGGATGTGTCACAATAGCTGCCAGGAGAGACAAAGAGCTGGACAAAGGAGACAGCAAAGGGCAGAGAGAGAGGGCAGATGGGGGAGATGCAGGTGAAGGGAAACTGAGAGGTCACTGAGCTGGTCCAAACAGGAAATGGGCCCAGAAGGTGGAGAATGACAAGACAGCTCTTAGCCAGCCTAAGCCTTAGTCTCCTCATCTGAAAAATGGGTATAATAATTGCACCTACATGTCATTACTGGGGGCTAAATTAGGAGAGGCTGGCACACATTAAGCCCTCTGCAAGTATTGCAAAAGAAGGAAGCACGCCCCAACCCCGACAAGCAATCAGGCACCACCCCTATCGATATCCCTTACATATTTACTTGTTTCCTCACTCATAGTTAAGAGTTAAGATCCTAAGTAACATCTAGGCATGTTCAAGTCCTCCTGATGGCTCAGCCGTCTTCCTTCAACTCATTCCACACAACAGAGCCACCTCAAACACTTTTCTTGTGGCGTAACTCTCTCCCCTGCTGAAAAATCATCACTGGTTCTGTACTGCTTGACAAAGCATGTCTCACCTCCTTAGCCCAGTGTAAGCCTGTTGGTGGACTGCCACTCCTCCTTTCCAGCTGTTTCACTCAGTTCCTGCACACGGCTCTGTGTTCCCCCCAACACTGGGACTGCACCTCGCTCCCAGCCTGAGCTTGGCAGCCCGGCACGACACCGACCCTCTTCCTTCTCTCTCATCCCTTCGAGACCTTAATCAAATCGCACGCCCTTCACGGAGCCATCCCTGAGTCTCCACAGCCGGCATTGCTCACTCTCCCTCTCCACTCCCATGCCACCTGTTTGCACACCATGGATGTTCTGCTCTTTACCCTGGTGAACTGTACACAGGATGCAGCCCAGCCCGTGTCTTATTCAACTTGGAATCATTCACAGTGCCTGCTTCGATGACTAATACACAGCATGCACGATAAAATTTGTTGAATGGATGAGTGAATGAATTTTTCAACTCAGTTCTCAAAGCTAGTAGTTAGGGTTGGTGAACAAATGCCATATGGTATGCTTATCAAGAATTATGGAAGGGCTTCCCTGGTGGCGCAGTGGTTGAGAGTCCGCCTGCCGATGCAGGGGACACAGGTTT